TAAATTAATCTCATTTTTCAAAATTGGTAACATTTGAAACAAAAAAAGAAACTTGGGTAGAATATTCATTTTTATCACTGCAATTCTTCCCATGAGGGATAATTGCAACTTTTCCCAATTCTTCAAGTCCTTCTGTACCCTGACCCACAACCTTTCATAATTATTTTTAAATAATTTTGCATTAGAAACAGACAGCATCACCCCCAAATATTTTACCTTATTAACAATCTCAAAACCCGTCAAGTTGACCAAAATCTGCTTCTCCTGACTCGACATATTTTTAGGTAAAATTTTAGTCTTATTTACGTTAATCTTAAAACCCGAAACCAAACCATAATGATGAATCAACTGTAATAAATTTACTACAGAATAATCAGGTTGCGACAAAGTAACAACCAAGTCATCCGCAAAAGCTCTCAACTTATATTCTTTTTTATTAACATATATTCCTTTAATTTCCTGAGACTCTCGAATTTTGATCAATAATATTTCCAATGTTAAAACAAACAACAATGGCGATAAAGGACACCCCTGTCTAGTACCTTTCTCTATTGTAAAAACCTCCGACAAACCTCCATTAACAATAAGTTGTGCCGTTTGTTTTTGATATATTACCGTAAGGGCTTGTAATATCTTTTCACCAAAATTCATTTCTTCCATTACTCTTAACATAAAATGCCAATTCAATTGATCAAATGCTTTTTCAGCATCTAAAAATATGAGCCCTGCAGGAACTTGGTTGTTCTTGTCTAAATATTCTAGTAAATTAATAATTTGTCTGACATTATTTTTCATATACCTTCCTGTTATAAATCCTGATTGATCTTTATGCACAAGATGATGCACCACCCTCATAAGCCTATTTACCAAAATTTTTACAAATATCTTATAATCCACATTTAAAAGAGATATAGGCCTGTAATTTTTTGGTAGGGTAAGATCTTGATCCTCCTTTGGAATCAATGATATAAAAGCACTACGCCATGAAGGAGGAATCTCTAAACCCTGTAAAATACCATTAAAAAGATCATGTAATGGTTGGATCATCTCCTCTATTAGAACTTTGTAATAAACAGCTGTTAACCCATCCGTACCCGGTGCTTTCCCTAATTTCAATTGTTGAATTGCTGAGGTAATTTCCTCCTTAGTAATTAAACCATTAATTTCATATTTCTGATCCTCAGTCAGTTTAGGAAAACTTGCCTCAGCTAAATATTTATTTATATCTAGCATTTGTATATTAGTAGATTTATATAGGTTTTGATAATAATCCAAAAAAGATTTTTTAATCAATTCCTTCTGAGAAACTAATTTACCCTTATAGTTTATTTTCTCTATTATTCTTTGTCTCTGTTTCTTTCTTAATTGATAAGCCAACCATCTCCCAGGCTTATTGGCATTACAAAATGTATTTTGTTTCATAAATAATAAGTTGGTTGCAGCTTGATCTGCTATCAACATATTAAATTGTGACCTTAATAACTTTACAGATTCTTTAATACTCTCATCAGAAGGATTTAAAATCAAAGCCCTTTCTTTTAATTTAATTTCATCTTCAAGTTCTCTACGTTTCTGAATCTGATTTCGCTTATAAAAATTATTCATTTTTATCAAAACACCGCGCATAAATGCTTTACCTGCATCCCATACCATTGACATTGAAGTCCCCTTATACATATTCAAAGCAAAATAGTCCTTTAAACACTCCTTTAGTTTTTGAACATTCTTTTCTTGTCTAAACAAATTTTCATTAACTCTCCAAGATCTTCTTTCCTCTTTCTCTTGAATCAGCTCCATCCAAACTGGACTATGATCCGTCAGTGATCTAGGAAAAATCTTTACATTCTTTACTTTATTATACAAGTCCGTGGTAATCAAGAAAAAGTCAATTCTTGAAAAAGATTGGTGTCTATCAGAAAAAAAAGTAAAGTCTCTCTCCTCTTGATTACGTTCCCGCCAATAATCCCTTAATTCCCAGTCTTCTTTCATGTCAAAAAAGGCTTTAGGTAGCCTTGCTTGTTTAAGAAAAGGAGAGGAACCTTTCTTATCCCTTAGTGTATCTAAGACACCATTCCAATCACCCATTAATACCACTGATCTATAATCAAGCAAAGTTATTTTTTGATGTAACTGTTTATAAAATTGTTCCTGTTGTTGATTTGGAGCGTAAAGTCCAACTATAAGTACTTTCTTACCATATATACCAAGTTCAATCATCACATATCTCCCCTGGGGATCTGATTCTACCAGACAAGCTGGTAGGTTTTGTTTAACATATATAACAACTCCCCCTTTCTTCCCAGGAGCAGGAGATATAAAATGAGATCCCAAACGAGCATTAACTAAATATTTCTGGTCTTTAAGTAAAATATGAGTTTCCTGTAGACAAATAACATCATTGGTATGTTGCTTCAAATAATAAAAGATTTTTTTCCGTTTCTGAGGAGAATTCAATCCATTAACATTCCAGGTCAAAAACTTTGCCATCTCCCTTGGCACGCAGCCTGGAGAAGACACCATCAAAATCTGACAGAGCTGCGTGTGTTGCATAACTCTTGGGTCTTGCTCCTCCCACCGGCGGTGAAGCACTTCCAGGAGAACTCTCTTTGGGCTCTTTTTTACGTTGCTCCTTCTCTTTACGCTTATAGGCTGCACGAGTCATCCTCTGCTCTTTAGCCTCCGTCTGGCGTTGCTTTGCCGCTTCTATCATCCCTGCGGAAACCAAATCTAATGCCTCAGATTGCTGCTCAGCTTCCTTACCACTCAAAGATTTCCGACCAGATGAAGTTGAGCCTGCACCCAGGACCGAAGTATAAAAATCTCTAGCTTTATCAACTGTGTTCAATCTGTAGCGTGTCCCAGCATGGCTCAAAACAATACCCATCGGAATTTCCCATCTAAATGGCATCGATCTAACTTTAAGCTCATTGGTTAAAAAAGCAAAGTCTTTTCTACTTCTTAAAATTTTGGATGGGATTTCCTTTAGAATGATGACATCTTGGGCGGCAATCTGAAATCTTTTGTTGTAAAAGGCTTGTATAATCTCATTCCGCAGGGACTTCTTTGTAAAGTAAATCACCACATCTCTAGGCAAATTCTTCTGCTTAGCAATCCAGGAGTTGAGTCTATAAATTTTTTCCACTTCTCTCTGTAATTCTCCTTTATCCATATCCAAGGCCAGCGCCAGATCAGTAAGGACCACCTCCACCAAATCTTGATTGATATCTTCCTTGAGGCCTCTAATCCTCAGGGCATACTCCATCTGTCTATACTGAAACATCAAAATATCTTCTTGTGAGGAGTCCACCTTCCTTTCCACGTCTTGAATTTTGTCATCCAAAGAGTCAACTTTGTCTTCCACTTCCTCAAGCCTTGCGTCGAGCTTAACCACCACAGTAGCCAAACCTGAAACAGCTGCCAATATATCTTGTCGTAGTTCATTATTATTTTCTTGCAATTTAGACTTTATCCCCGTTATCTCTTCTTTGAGATCAGATTTAATTTCTGATTTAATCTGTGAAACAAATTGATTCATTTCCTCTCTCATTTGAACTACAATCTCTCCCATTATGCCTCTAACCTCTTGTACTGAAAGTCCAGGTAGAGGAGGGGAGGGTGGTGGCTGAGCCGGTGGTACATGTTTAGATTGTTGTTGTAGCTGTGCAGTGGAAGTTATAGGAGAAGAAATAACCTTAGGTGCTGAGGAAGGCTGCTGCCTCTTTGAAGCCATTTTAAAAAGCACAATTGTCACTTCCCTTTCCCCTCCAGCCAAAAAGGGAGGAGGAAAGAAAAAAAAAAAATTTTTAAAAAGAGACAAACTATAGTCATTAAAAGTCCAGAGTAAATCCAAAGAATAAGTAGTAAAAGAGCAAACAGTTCAAAAGAAAAAATTCTAAACCAAAAGCAAAAGCAGAAGCAAAAAACAGTCCTTAGAAAGGGAAAGTAAAACAAAAGAGAAAGGAAAAAAAACTCCGACAGTTTCAAAACGCCATCTTAAATCCTTTCACTAGTATAACAAAAAAAGGAGGAAAAATAGTAAAAATCAAAAGATAAAAAAATAAACACCTAAAATATAACAAAAAATCCTTTAAACTGCTCCGTCCGTTTAAAAATTACTCACCAAAATGCTGTAAACACGGAGATAGAAGCGGCGGTTTCTTTTGCTTCCTAGGAAGCAAAAACAGCTGGGAGGCGGAGATCAGCAAGAGCTCCGAGGGAACACTCCTTTCACCCCCTCTAGAAATAAATCCAGAGGGGGTTCAGGGGTTCTACCTCTACTCTTGCGTTCTCTGTCCCTTCCCTTTGCCCGGGAAGGGATTTCCGAGCCGCGGGCCAGCTGATGCGCGCTGCGCTCCGCGGCTCTGACACTTCCCCAGCTGGACGGCTAAAAGCTAGCCGCCATCGCCGTCGCCTCCCACCGGAAGCTCCTAGAATAGACTCTCTTGAATAGAGTCTAATTCTATTGGCTTTCAAAAGCCCATAGGAATTGTCCAGGCTGTCTCTGCCCTGCTGAGCCCGCCAAAAGTCCCATTCTGCAAACGGTGCTGCACCAGTTGAATAGTCCTCGACTTACGACCGGTTGGGGGTTGCGGCATTAAAAAGGTTGAGAACCACTGTTCTAGTGAGTGATCGATTGAGTCTTTAAAAGGACGAAAAGAGACTTGTCTTCTTTAGATTTTAATACTTGGAAGTGCTACAATTAACACTGAATAATGTTTTCCCAGTTTGAAAATATTAGTTCCACTAGATATCCAGGCATCTACATATGGTTTTTCAAAGGCATACATACAAAGATTAAACTCCTATAGGCCTAGTCAATCTGTACATTTTGTGAAGCATATCAATCATATGTAAGAATGTATCTGAGAGTTTACTTATTAAACTTTCATACAGCAGAATTGGATTGGAAGTTAGGATTTTCTTTTACTTTATGTAGAAAAACACAGAAATGTGGAATGTGGTTCAATAAAGTTGATGGAAAATATGTTGTCCTATTTTAGCTGGATTTTGCCACTGATGGCCAGAAAGAGAAAATAACAGACAAGAGTGTTTTATCAATGAAGAAGCAAGAAATGATCTCAGAACAACACAAAGTAAGTAAAAAAATATTTTAAAATGATATATAATTTTCTAGATTTAACATACTATTCTGTTGCTAAGTGTTTCCCTTGAGTTAGATATATTCTCTTTTATTGAAACGTGTTTTGTTCAGAGAGGTACAGGGAACTTCAGACTAGTTCTTCCTCTGCAATTCCCAGGGGCTTAAGACGGAGAGACATAAAAGACACAAACAGGCTTATAAATAAAATACAGTTCTAGTCTTCCTGAATTCTATTTCCTGGCCTGATCTACCTTGAAAATCTAACAGGCAGGCATTAAGAAAACAATATCAAAAACATAGGAGCCTTTCTTACACTAAGATTATTGCAATATTATTTACATTGACTGGCTACAGGGTTTCATTCGTATTTACTAACAGTAGTATCTGAATATGCTAAAAAGTGAACCTGGACTTTTTGAATGCAAAGAATAAAAGTGTAAAATGTGTCTGCCTGCCTTTCCATCGATCCATCCATCGATCCATCGATCCATCCATCCATCCATCCATTTTCTCAGTCACTTCTTGTAAGATTTAATCTGTAGTCTTTTACTCATCTTCACTGTCTTATTCTGCAGCTGGTCCAGTTTCTTTGAAACTTTCTTAAACTATAACCTCTTTCCCCCTCCCCCCCAAAAAACACATGGAATTTGAGATGGGATCTGACCAGTGCTTTTTCTGATTTGGATATTAGGTATTTATTGAGGCAGACAATAATTGCATTTGCCATTTTAGCAGCCGTGTCATGTTATTGACTCCTGTTTTACTATTGAGGGTCCTTCCATGGGGCCATGCTCACAAACAGTATAGTAGTAGTAACTGTGAGAGGGACCTCAGACTCCTAGTGGACAATCACCTAAATATGAGCCAGCAGTGTGCTGCAGCTGCCAAAAAGGCCAACACAGTGCTAGGCTGCATTAACAGAGGGATAAAATCAAGATCATGTGAAGTATTAATACCACTTTACAATGCCTTGGAAAGGCCACACTTGGAATACTGCATCTAGTTTTGGTAACCGCACTGTAAAAAAGATGCTCAGACTCTAGAAAGAGTACAGAGAAGAGCAACAAAGATGATTGGGGGACTGGAGGCTAAAGCATATAAGGAATGGCTGCTGGAATTGGGTATGTCTAGTTTAATGAAGAGAAGAACGAGGGGGGACATGAAAGCAGTGTTCCAATATCTCAGGGGCTGCCACAAAGAAGAGGGAGTCAAGCTATTTTCCAAAGTGCCTGAAGGCAGGACAAGAAGCAACAGGTGGAAACTAATCAAGGAGAGAAGCAACCTAGAACTAAGGAGAAACTTCCCGACAGTTAGAACAATTAACCAGTGAAACAACCTGCCTCCAGAAGCGGTGAATGCTCCAACACTGGAAGTTTTTAAGAAGAGACTGGAAGCCATTTGTCCGAAATGATATAGGGTTTCCTGCCTGAGCAGGGGGTTGGACTGGATGACCTCCAAGGTCCTTTCCAACTACTTCTTCTTCTTCTTCTTCTTCTTCTTCTTCTTCTTCTTCTTCTTCTTCTTCTTCTTCTTCTTCTTCTTCTTCTTCTTCTTCTTCTTCTTCTTCTTCTTCTTCTTCTTCTTCTTCTTCTTCTTCTTCTTCTTCTTCTTCTTCTTCTTCTTCTTCTTCTTCTTCTTCTTCTTCTTCTTCTTCTTCTTATTCTTCTTATTATTATTATTATTATTATTATTATTATTATTATTATTATTATTATTATTATTATGGATCATCGCACAGTCAGCCAGATGTTCAGACTGGATTTGGCATTTTGTTTACCTATCGAGTCCTTACCCAGGACCTGGGATAGGCAGATGTGGATGTTTGATTATTATTATTATTATTATTATTATTATTATTATTATTATTACACTATTGTAGCAGCTAATGATTATTAACTGAAGTCGTGTGAGAATGATCACTGGCGACCTGTGCATTTTCAAACCGACAAATAACAATCTGCAAAAATTGGAAGCACCTCCTCTCCTCTCCAGTTGCCATATTAATTCATAATGATTGGGGGAAAGGAAATAGGTCAGTTTGCAAAAGGCTTCAAAGCCAACTATAAAGATTGACACTCCAGACTCAGTGCAGCCCAAGTAGGAAGTCATGGAGAAAAGCAATCCCACAAAATGAGAAGTTGCCCACCTCCATGTTCAACTGAAACTGTGGAACAAGGTTTGCTGTTTGAAATTTTGACAGCCAAATCAGAAGGAAATCAGCCTAACTGCCCCTGGATGTTGTCACTATAAGAACAAATAGCTATAGTCAAAATGTAGGAATGGCACTGTGGATACAGGTAGTCTTTGACTTACAATCATTCATTTAGCAACCATTTAAAGTTACAACAACACTGGAAAAAGTGACTAATGGCTGGTCCTTGTCCTTACAACTGTTGCAGCATTCCCACAGTCATTTATTCAAAATTCAACTGCTTGGCAATTGGCATGTATTTACGATAGTTGCAGAATCCTGGGATGACATGATCACTATTTGCAGCTTTCCTAGCAGGCTTCCAACAAGGAAAATCAATGGGGTGATCCAGACTTGCTTAATGACCACATGATAACTGCAGTGATTCACTTAACAACTGTGGCAAAAAAGGTTATTAAATCATGCACAGCTTTTTAAACAATCATCTGGCTTGGCAAGGGAAATTCTGGTGCCAATTGTGTTGTACAAGGGCAATTGGGAAATAAACCTCTGTTTGAGCATGTGCAAGAAATAAGCGGGGATAGCGATGCCTGTCCTATGGTGCTGTGCGCAGTAGTTCAGTAGGCAGTGAGGAGTGGAAGGAGAAGGTTGTGTTGCAGTTGACTCGTCCACTAGATCAATTGAAAATGAATCCCGCCATAAAAAAATCCCGCCAAATGTGAAGTGCGTGCAGTAATACGATTCCTTTGTGCAAAAAAACTTTCATCAGCTGCAATTCATCAAGTTTTTTCGCATACAGGAATCATATTACTGCACGTACTTTACATTTGGCGGAATTTTCTATGGCAAGGTTCATTTTCAATTCATCTAGTGGACGAGTCATCTGCAACACAACTTTCTCCTTCCACTCCTTACTGCCCACTGAACTACTGCGCATGGCGCCACAGGACAGGTATTGCTATCCTTGCCTATTTCTCGCACATGCTCAAACGGAGGTTTATTTCCAAATTGCCCTCGTATGTTGAGGATTATGTGTACCTATGAGGATTTTAAAAGTAAGGAAAGGGCTCCTTTGAAAAACCTACTCTGCTCAGTGTATTTTAGGCTTGTTTCATACATTTCAATATTTTAAAAGGTTACAAAAATTGTCCCTAACAATTCACGCTGAATAAACTCATCAAAACTGTAAGCAAATTACGGTATTTTAAATCACTATATTTAATAGATTTGGTTCCTTCCTTTTTGCTTTCATTTACTGCTATAATGCTAAAGGAAATGTTAACCAAATTCTTATTTCCATAGAAAAGCTGCAGTTTACAGTGTCAAGACATAGTGTGCTAATCATAAGATTCTTCAGGAAATATTGTAATGCAAAACTATTAAATCAAGATTTTCTTTGCAAAGCTTCATGCTGTGAACTTGACAGCATATTCTACAAATGAAATAATGCAAAATTGCTATAAAGCAAAGTGGAACATTATCTTCGTGGAGATTTATAGAGTAGCCTAGCTTATTCTCTCAGAGAGAAGATTAGGAAATGTTACTAACGCTATGGTGCTATTAATAATACCTTTTTCCTGCTATTTTGATCTTCGACAATGTACTAATCATTTTTTTCTTAGAGGTCCACAATTAATTAATTTATTGCATAAAGGATACATTGAGATACAATAACTACAGAGTATCCCTCTGGTTTGTTTTCTGTTTTTTTATGGGGATGCCCTCTGATAAGTTATCTCAATAAGTATCTTATGAAAGGTTAGTAGATCTAAAACAAGCTTTGGGAACTTGCTTCCTTACCACACTGATCTTGAAGATGAACCAAGATGAACATTTTCACATTAAACTACCATTCAAATTCAGTCATACAGATTTTTTTAAAACAAATTTTATTGTTTTTTTAACTTTTACAACAAAAGTGCTCGAGACACACCGTGGTGATGGGATAGTCAAACATCCAAAAACGAAATCATATATGAATAACTCAAGTAAATACATTAAATATTCCCTCTCTATTTCCCTCAAATAGTATGATATATTTAAAATAATCCATTTCTACATTAGATTTCTATAAATCCTAATCTTGTTTTCAAACTTTGTTAATTTATTTACCATAGTCCAATTTAATCTTAAATAAGCCTATTATCACTTCGGGTACCCCTTCCAAATGTATTCTAGTTCTTAATCTCATGAGTCATTAATTTTATCAGAAATCTCTCTTATTTCTTCTTCCACTACAAAATAGTTATTCTGATTGAAATCAAATATTTACTCTACCCCAGTGGTTCTCAACCTTTCTAATGCCACGACCCCATAATACAGTTCCCCATGTTGTGATGACCCCCAACCACTTATACATCACCAGGTGCTAGGGGCGTGGCCAAAGAAAAGGGGAAAAAAATGGTGGACAGCCTTGTTTGGCGACCCCTGTGAAATGGTCGTTCGACCCCAAATGGGGTCCCGACCCACAGGTTGAGAACCACTGCTCTACCCTATACCTATACAATCCATCATTCAATCTATCTCTATAGGAAGCAAAATAATACAAAACATTAAATCATTTCAGTCCATTAGGAAGAATTCAAATCTCATCCAGATAGATATCATGTCTAAAAACAGGCTTATTGTTACACAAAGCATCATCTTACTAACTTAACATGCTCAATTAATTGTTAAATCAATCCAGATCTCTAAAACCTCTTCCATTTTCTTATTCTCATTCCATTGCAAAATAATTTTCATACAAATAAACATATTATTCCAAAAAATACATTCTTACTCTATTTAAGGTATATATTCTAGTAATCACCAATTTTTCTCTCGCTTCTAACTCTAAATCT